GGGGGGGGGGGCTTAATGGGGGTGGCCAGTTTCTTAATCCCCAGTTTGCTGGTCTTAGAACCCGGGACTATTGGCGTCGTCTGCTGTCTGGCTGGTCCCTTGTCTGGCTGCTCCTCCGACACCAAATGCTCCTCCTCCACAGCCAGACTACAAGTCCACTGTGGCCTTGCCCCCCCCGCCCCGCAGAATAATTGTGAATATACATGAGAGGAAAGAACTTGCACCAAGTAGGGCCATACTTTCCTACAGACATACATGAGAAGGAAGAGTTTGCATCTTCCAGATGTAATACAAGCTTCATTGCACAATTTTGAGTCATAAAAGATGTGACCCCGGTCTAAAGTGTTTACAAAGGAAGCATAGTGAAGGGGGAAGAGAAGTGGCCAACATAATCACACAAGCCCAGATTTCATATCAAATAAAGTGTCAAGAGTCATTACCCAATGCCTAAAAGATGATAGGGTCAATGCTCTGTGGCTATTTCTGGACATTGCTTTCCAGAGACATGATGCTGATAAAGACTTTACCTATAGTTCCCATCTCTAGACTTCTAATACCCATTTAAATGGATGAATTGATTCATAGAGGGAATGTAGTCCCCCATATATTGGGCCTAGTATCTTTACATTATGTCAAAGCCATCACTTTGAATTGCACCTAGAAAGAAACTAGAAATCAATTTAGAACTCAGAATAAAAGGCCAATGTGCTTATTCCTATTCTTGCTGCTGCAGTTTGAATGAACTAATCATACTATGTATTACAGACACCCTATGCTGATGAGAGCTCAAATTTGGCTACTTCCTAACACTGAAATGGGCTGCTGTAACGGACATTATAGCAACCACTAGAATATCCTATAGCAATGGATTGTAGAGATATTAAATTTCCTGGAGGGCATATTGTGTAGATAATCTTAAAGCTGAACTGGTCTGATCAATTCTGGGAAACAGTTTGAAAATCCTTATGACACTTTAAAATGTTTAGCTATACAGTGAAGAATAGTGGAGTATCAGAGTACTAAATAAATTGTGCAATGTTATGGTCCTTATTTAAACAACATGTATAGAAGGAAAGAGAGTTTACATTATCAAACAATGCACTGAACTGCATGCTTTCTTCTCATGTTAATTTCCTACTTTTATAAAATCTTGCAGGTTTCCTCAAATCTGCTTTATGGAGTTCATAAGTATCAAATACAAGATGGGCCTAAGAATATTGGAGATCTTGTCTCATACTTGGAATTAATACAAGAATTTAGAGGCAACTTATGCCATAAATGTTTTAAGAAAGGAAACAAGGCAATCACAGAAGAGAATTATTGCAGACATATGGATGTTCTGCATGATACCCTCTCTCCCTCTATTCTGCATCCTTCTACCAGATTCTAAAATAACTCCAACATTGATTGGGGCAGAGGCAATAGTTTAATTTGATTTTTGAATTAATCTGATACATGCAACAAAACTGCCATGATTAATGTTCTTTTTGATTCATGATGCTAATTTTTGCAGCTTGAAAAATAGGTTTATAAGACTGAAACATTCCCTTCTCTGTATGATTTACAGAAGATCCTAGAAAGTCCATGCATCAAAGGCCTTTTACAAGCTATCCGTAGTGCCCACTTACTAGAAGAGGACTCTCTTTTCTGTGTTGTATCTTGTCTTGCTGAACTAGTGAAGCATGGTAAGGGGACTTTTATTCTGTTGAATAGATACATAAGCCTTTTTGCTGGCACTGAATACTGTTGTATGCCACCCGGAGTTGCCTGTGGTGAGATGGGTGGCTATATAAATTGATTTATGCCTAGGTTCTCCATTCAGTAAATGTGAGAATGGGCCTATGAACCATACTTGTAGTGTTGTGTCTGGAAAAGTATCTACATACATAGAGCAATCTGTGTGCAGATGTCTCTTTTCATATGTCATTGCAGACATGGAGTAGTGGGGAGGTTAAAAAGAACTGGATTTATAGTGGAAGGGGAATCAATAGGTGCAATATGGTTTCTGTCTCTTAGCATTCATTGAATGTACAGAAGATTGTACAAACATTTTCCCAGATTTTACTTTAATGTCAAACTCCTTTATTTTACTATCTGTTTGGGAGATAGAGGAGGGTAGAGTCATCAGCTAACCAAGAAGTCCAGCATTTTAAAAAAATCTTGGCCATATACAGTATAACTGTTATTGTTTTTATATATTAAAATGATTGTTGAGTTTAACCCGAGTGTACCATTTCATATGTGAGACATGCATATGGGAACATAAGCATTGCCACTCCTGCACAAACTGCAGTGAAGCAGAATGGAGGATAACAGCAAAATAGTGAAATGCTAGTAAGAACCCTGGGCATTGATTTCATAACTACATCCTTATACAGGTAGTCCTCGGTTAACAATGGTAATTGGGACCAGAATTTCCATTGCTAAGTAATGCAGTTGTAAAACACGACATCACATGACCGCACTGCTTAGCAATGGCAATCGTGGCACTCTTTGTTGCCGTCATTAAGTGAGGATCGTGGGTTGTTAAGTGAATCTCAGGTGGTTTGCAAGCAGGCTGGCAGGCAGGGTGTGAGGGTGCAAGTGACTTACCAGAGCAACTTGCAACCTTTGCTGCTGGCTTCCCCATTGACTTTGCTTGTGAAAAGCCAGCAAGGAAAGTTGCAAATGGTGATCATGTGACTGCGGGATGCTGCAACCATCTTAAGTGCAAGCCAGTGCCAAGCACCCAGATCGTGACCATGTGACCGTGGGATGGCCAGAACTTCGAGGACCAGTCATAAGTATCACTCATTCAGCCCTGTCATAACTTTGAACACTCGCTAAATGAGTGGTCATTAAATAAGGACTACTTGTAAGAGCCACCCATTGGTTAAATCAGTATTATCTAAAGTCAAGTTAGCATCCCTGGACATGAGCTATTCCACCATGGGCAAATTCCATGAAGTAATTCCCCCGTCAAATCATAGGAAGTATTCTACTACATTCTGAATTAGTCAGATGCCACCTTGACTACTGTGGCAAGTTTTGGGGACCACATTTTGAGAGAGAAATACAGAAACTGGAACTGAAAAGGGCAATAAGGATGATAAAGTGTCTGATAACTAAGCTCCAATCAGCAGGGTCCAGAAGGCAGGCTTTCTCTGCTGTAGCCCCCGCCCTTTGGAATATCTTGCCCCCGAAGGTGAGATTGGCCCCTTCACTCCTGGCCTTCCATAGAAATCTGAAGACCTGGCTCTGCCACTTGGCCTAGGGTAGGGAGGGAAGATACCAAATATGGGGATGGCTAGCCCCTTAGAGGCCTGTTGTCTGCAGCTCTGGAACCATCAGCCTCTTGGACTTTCTCTTTTCTTTCAGTAATGCTTTGCATAGTTTTCATCTTTTATGTAATTTTATATATATTTATTGTTTTAACTGATTTTGTGAGCTGCCCAGAGTCCCCCATCAGGGGGAGATGGGCAGAGATAAATCTAATAAATAAATACAATAAATAAATAAACTGGAACTGGAACTGGAAAGGGCAATAAAGATGATAAAGTGACTGATAACTAAGTCTTATGAGGATATGAGGAAACTGGGTATGGTCCCTCTTGAGAAGAGATGGCTGAGGGAAGTATGATAGCCCTTTTCAAGCACCCAAAGGGGTGCACAGACAAGTTCAAAACCTATTCTTTATTATTCCAGAGTGCAAGACATGGAATAATGTCCCTAATTAACAGAAATACAAATTACAGTTAAATGTTAGGAAAATCTTCCTCATAAGAACAATTGGACAGTGGTACCAGTTACTAAGGGAGGTGGTGAGTTCCCTTTGCTGAGTGGGTTCAAACAGAGGCTATGCATCCTTCTGTTCAGGATGTTTTAATTTTTGCACCAATTTTGATTTGATAGCCCTACCAAGTATTTGACTCTGTGATTCAATACATTTATTTCAGATCTTCTACAATCTTTCTCTATTCTGTTAGCATCTTGTTTGGGGTCTGTTCACTTGTCTTTTAATTCCTTGTCAAATCTTTCCTTCTACTGTTAGAAGGAACCATAATGCATATTCTAGCTTTGATGGATGAGCCATTGATAAATCATCTAGTGAAACTGGCTGACCAGGTGGAACAACCCAAGCTTTCATTCCAAGCTGCCTTTATGATCAAACACATCCTACAACATGGTACGTATCAACAGTGAGTCTGACATTTATATTTTCAGCATACCGATCAAATTCAGGTAATGACATTTTAAACAGGTTGGGTAAAAAAAAAAAGGACAACAGCTTGAGCTTTGAAGTGCAAATCCTTTTATTTATATCTAGGTAGTCTTAAATCATTCTCACAGTATAAATGGGATTCTTAAGGACTTATGAAATGAATGAATTACAGCTGGGTGATCATCTATTTTCTCTGTACATTCCTTCTGATATACTAAGAATGTAAATGTAATTGACATCAGGCAGGTATTTTAAGCCTGACCACACTTGGCATCCTTGCCTGGGGCCCTTATTCTTCTAATTTAAATGTGAAAATTTGTTTGAGATAGTGAAGCAAAAGGTTCCAACGCAGCAATTAAACATTTTACACTATAATAGGATCTTCCATAAGGAAACAAATCCTGTTAAATATGCCATCACTGCTCAAATATTTATACATTACTGTTGCAAGTTGAAGTGATGTTTAATTTGAAAAATCATTGTGGCATGAAGTTTCTTTGAATCCCCTCTCTTAAAATAATACATTGATTATTATATGTGCACACGTACTACTTGTGTCTATAAGACAGTTACTACATTATTATAACTGCTTTAATATCAAAGTAGGTGAAGCCTACTTTAATATCAAAGTAGGAGATTTAGCACCTGTATTCCTATTCCACAAAACAAAACTTAAAAGGAATTAGGAATTAGGACTAAAGCTCAGACCTGTGCTTGCTGTAATACATGGCTTTATAGTGAACTGCATATATGAATTCTCAATATTAAAATGTTTTTAGCTTAACAAATTAGTAACCAGAAAAGCAAACAGTAGTATTCAACATAAGTAGAATGCTTTGGCATTTCAATTTAATAGTGCAGTGTAACTAATGGATTCTGTTCTGTATTTTTTCTTTTCTCCATATCAATTGCATAGAAGAGGTAGTGTCTCTGTTAAAAGCTCACATGAACCAAGTTCAGCAATATTTGATGAAATATCTTATCCACCGGGAGATTCGTTTTCAGCATTTGGGCATAACCACTCTCTGTGCATTACAGAAAGGTAAGATTACTATGATCTAAAAGAAGATCTATATAAGTCTTTTAAATAAAATAAATAGATGATCATTACTGGGTCCAAATGAAATCCCAAGAGTTTTATGCTGTGTCTAGCATAGTAGCTAGGCTCACCAGTTTTTACTAGGATCTGAGTCCTGACTGCTTCTAGTAATGTAAACCAACTTTATAAAGATTTGATTAAAAGTTAACAATGTCTTTTCACTGATATTTTTATCAGGCATGTATAGAGGTTCATTCTCATTGTCACACTTTTTATACTCCTAAAGTGGTGTTGTTGTTTTTTTAAAAAAGGGGGGGGGACCAATAATCTCATAATTCTGGCTTCCACAATTTTTGCCAACCACTTTTATCAGGAGCAGTAAAGGACTCAAGATGTAGTTTTATAGGATGTACTCAAGATATCTCATTATATTGGTAGAGGAAGACCTAAGGGACTCAAGCTAGAGTGTGAAACCAAGCCAAATAGCATCACCAAAAGTGCAATGTAGAAGAGGTCCAGCTAGAAGGTGAAAATCAGACAGCTATTTTGTAAGGAGGTCCAAAGGTAAGCTTGGATCATTGTAAGAGGAGTAGAACTCCTATGGTTGAACAACTGAAAAGGAAAGGCCAGCGACTGTTGCAAATGAAGCACAAGGGAATGGCTGAAAACTTGTCATGTTGCTGGCTGAGAAAGGTGGAAACAGGTTCTCATGAGGCATTGTTGAACAGGTATATGGTGAAAGAATGAGAAACAGGACTGTGCATGAATTTCTTAACATCATTGAAAAATCATAAAAACATCAAAGCAGGTTTTAAACATAAATAATTTAAAGTTAGTCTATATTTCATGGTGTTTCTAGAATTGTATAGATCCAAATAGAATGTAAATCCTCCGACCCACTATGAATCCAATGTCAAGTAAATTTATGGACAAGTGTAAAAGGAAATACTTTCCCATATGAAAAATTCTGCAGCCTAATACCTGAATATTTCCTGTCTTATATTTAGATCCAGAGTTTTTGGCAGCATTCAGAAACAGTGAACTGAAGAAGCGCCTTGATGAAATCTGTCAACAAACTGAAATTATGCAAGAGTTTCTCAGTATTGCTATTGGACATATGGAGGCATGAGACAAACTTCCAGCAATATCGTTAGCCTTTTTATCATTAGTCAGCATGGAGATCATTAGACTCTGAATAGGCAGCTGAGCTAAGATATCGGTATCCCTGGTTCAATGGAACAGCCTTGGGTAAATCCACAACAGCTACATAAATTATGATGTCTGTTATTTGGGTAGAAATTAAAGGATGCACTCATTCAGGAACATTTCACCCATCATAAGGTATGTAAACAGAATCCGTTGTCTTTTCTAGGATGGCTGATTCACATGTAACTGTTCATTATTTTGATGCATGCATGGACCAGTCAGTTCTACTATACAGATGCAAGACAGATGGAGCGATCTAAAGATAGTTCTGTTGGACAGATGGTGCAATTTTTCACCATCCTTGCTGAGACATTTGTGATCTGCAGATCTCTACAGATGTGGATAATCAGTCTTATTTGATTATCTGCATCTGTAGATAATAATCATTGGCAATATTCCGCTTATTTTAATAAACTGAAATTTGATTAACAGCTTTGAAATGGAAAAATCTCTGCTAGCAAATAATTAGTGTGTGCCAATTTCCAAGAGAAATGTGTGAAGTTTTTATTAAAATGGGCATTTCTAGAAAAATATATTTATGTAAAATGTTTGTGGTGTTGTAACTGATTACTATATGATGCACATTCATGCCATATGATTACTATATGCTTGTATTCAAGCATGAATGACTAATCACCTCCTTGTCCCATCAGTTGATACTGTTTCAGGGAAGGGACCTGGAGTATTCCCATCATATTAGAGCATGTAGAACAGGCAGAAATAATTGGTGACAGGTGGTTCCATAAATGGCATGTCTTGAATCCAAAAGTTCCTATGTACCTGTGCATATTTGTGTAAAATACTTTGTAAATAGAAAGATTTCCTGGATGACAAGGGGCTATCCACCAAAGAGGACATACAGTACCTAACTACACAAAGAAACATGTTCGGAGATTATCTTTATGCATATGTGAAGTGCATATGCTCAGGAACTCTTACTTTGTACACAGGTCTGAATTAAACTGATTACCATTTCCTACAGAAAAAATAGACAGCTGAATAAATGCCTTACATACAAGACTACTGTTTTCTTTGTGCCACTAAAATCAAATGTCTGAAAGCCATGACCAAAGTTTGCATCTTATCTAGCTCTGAGTGATTCTGCAGTTGTCCACAAGCACAGTAGAAATGAAGGTGTGCATGCAAGCCTTATCCCCAACATCCCCTTGTGGCTTGTTTGGGCCTTTGCATATTGAGGATTGATTTGCAGGACACACAATGGCAGGTAGATAAGTTTTTCACAGGAAACAGAGCCTACTTTCCTTCTGCCATTTTATAGCTGGAAATACCCACAGATGTTTTAATATATAAGTTTTATCTCAATAGTTATAACTTTATTAGTAAATTTGATTTTTAAATTGCTAGAACACTGTTTATGGGAAGCAGCATAAGATGCTATAAATAAATGAAATTTTAGAGGATAAGAACATCACAAGACCCAGAAGAATCAGAACAGCCTCCTGAGCTGGAAATGGTCACCTGAGACATATGCAGCATTTCTTCTATGAATAGTCTGTGCTCATCAGGACTGTTGAATTTCTTCCTCCCATCAAGCTGAGGAAGTCCAACTCTTGCTCCTTCATTAGAAAATGCTTGAGTTTCCCAAATAACTGAGTATCGCCTACTTCATTTAATCTGAATTCTACAACACTATGATCTCAAACAGACCAGTTCTTGGTGCCTTAGACCCAAAGAGGGAATATCCTAGGCATCAGAAGGTTTCTGAACCCAACGCCATTCTGTCTTGCTGGGATTGAGCCAAATCTGTTCCTCCCCACCCAACTCTAATGGCCTTCAAACATCAGGACAGGACTTCAGTGGCATTTCCTGTTCAGCCTGTACACTATGGAGAACATTATGGGTACATTAACTGCACCTTTATTTTTCAAGCCTGGAAAAAGCTCATTGAATTCAAACAATGACATCAAGTCAGAAAGCTAAGAAAAGCCAAACTTGCACTGTTAATTGTAGCCACATTTTCTATTGTTTATTTTGTACTCAACAAAATTCATAAATACATTATCTAAGATACAACAGGCTTTTTTCATTTCCCCTATGAAAAAATAATGCTTTCAATTTTTCACATTTTAAAACCTGTCATGTTATTTTATTTTTAAAAGAAAACACGAGAAGAGCATAGTGATGACTGAATATACAGAATGTCCATATAGGAATTACATTTACAAGAACCTGATACAGAAGCCTTTATCTTGCCCCCATAATTAATAGTTCTCTGCAATAATATTTAAACCAACAGGTTTAAACAAAACAAAACAAAATAAAAACCCTGTAGCCCCTCCCTGGAGAGCAGTGAGGTGTTTACTTTTCAAGTATTGAATCAGTAAAATGCAAGATTCTTTGCTGATTTTACAGTATACCTTTTAAAACTACCCATCTTCAAAACAAGACAAAACCGACAGGCCCATTAGCTCAATCATCCTGTTGTTAGAATCCAGTTACCTTTTCTTCAAGAATGCTGAAAATATCAATTATGCTATATGAAGCAATTTTTGAAACAGAAGACACAATTCTCCCCTAGCAGTGAGATCTATTTGATAGAAAGATAATCCAAATCTATTCCCAATATATTCTTCTGCTGGTTTTACTACTTTTTTTCTTAAAAAAAAGAAAGCATCCAAGAAATCTTTAGAAAATTCAAGAGTGAAAAAAAAAAAAACACTCCTTCATAGCATGGAAGGGATTCCATTGGCTTCAGAGGCTTTTTCTTTGCCTTTGATAATTCATGAGGAGATCTCAGACAACTTCTATAAAGGAAAGCCAATAAAGAAAACATTAGCAATAGATTCTATCCAAAAATACAAACATAGTCCTGCCATGATGATGATCATGATGATGGAGGATGACTTGGATCTTATTAGTTCCAATTACCGGAACTACACATAAAAGGTTCTCGTGAGCGGAACAGGAGAAGTAATGTCTGCCAATTTCCTGTTCCCTCTGAAGCTCCCCTATATCTTCTGAAAATCTGCCCAAAGAGTTGAAGGAGCATCTAAAACAGTGTGGGAGGTGGTGCTAGGGTTGCAGGGAGAAGGGGAAATTGGCAAAAACATCACTCACTCTGTCCTTCTGCTGGTGATGCCACCATTGGATCAGAGTGTCTTCCTTTCATGGGACAATAATTCAATATCCATGCACCAATTATTAACTGCAGAAGTAGTTCCATCCTATGGTAACCATACACAAATTGAACAAAGCTCCTGTTACCTAGAGTTATGAACTTGAAGAAACATTTTTCAGAGAAATAACTTGTCATGAAGGATAAGAAAACCTGCACACACTGAAATCACTATTTTTATATATCTGTTATAGAAGCCTTGCCCTTTCCATCTTGTTTTCCTACTTTTATCAAAACAATCTATCTGTTCTTTAAAAAAATCTGCTTTTGTATCAGGAAGAAATAAATTTTATAATTGAAACAAAACAAATTCAGATTTATGCCCTGCCCTGTAAGACACGTGCAATTCACAATCAAGCTTCTAGCTTTCTCTATCCTATTCCAGTTGCAGGTTGATCCAAGAACCAGGATTAATACGTTTATTGCAGAATATATAAACCTTCATTCTGTGCTCTTAATACACTGAAATCAGACATATGCTAGATTCATTCCAGGGCATGCAAGTTAGAAGGCGTAAAGCAAACTTACCTGCTGTCTGATGCGTTTGAACATTGTCTACCTGAGGCAATGACCCTCGTGCCCCTTTCTCTTCAAAGGCCAAAATGGGAGTCAGAGGAATGTCAGAGTTATCCTTCTCTTCAGGACTCCTGGCATCCAATCTGGGAGGTTTTGTTCCTATGGGTAAACTGATGAGTTCTTCAAAATTTTCATCCTGCATAGATACTCCATTTTCATTTGGATGTTTTTGTGGGTTGAGAGTACTGAAATACATGGAGTGGTAATATAACTTACTGATAACAAACTAGTAGTTTATAGGGCAATATATGATTATTTTTATCACATGCTTTTTTATTATATGTGGTACAGACTTAGTTTCTTCTGCTAGAAATATTTAGGCCATGATGCAAGAAAATTTAAATAATTTTAGTGTTACTGATTATATAAAATAATTACTGTAATGGTAAATATTGATATATCCAGTAAATTATACATGTTCTACAGCAAGAATATGTATTTTTATGAATTTTATTCAGCAATTAATTAGAAAAAGTTAAAGGAAACCAGAGCTAAGTTGGCTGACTCAGATATTTATCAAAGTTACAATTTTCATTTTCTACCTTTCTTTTTCATACATCAGGATTACAAATAAAATATTTGACATTTGACTAATTAGTATTGGACTTTGAAGACACACAGCCCCCAATTTACAACTATCAGAGCACCATAAGATTCATTTAACAAAAAGGGGAAAGAAGAGAATTGTTAGAAACAATTTCTCTCCTTCTTTCACCAATGGAAATCACTGATGGCTCAAGACGTTCACCACTGGAGACATCATTTGACAGAAGTCAAAGCTCAGTAGGTCACAGGGACAACCTATTCCAGTTCCAACATCATCCGTTGAAATGGGAATGGGGGGAATGGAAAACATGATCCCTCAGATGTAGATTCCAATTCCCATCAATTGCAACAACACTCTATATTCATATGGATTAACCATTAAAAGATTTCAGGTAGCAGAGATGGAAAAGCCTGAGACCCACCTTCTACATCTAGGACCTTTCAGCTGTCTAGAAACTGCAACTCCCAGACTTCCTAACCCCCCAAGAGTATCGAGTTTGGGAAAGCTGCTTAGAGAGCATTGTAAAATGAAAGAAATAAAGCTAAGCAAGATGGATCAAATGACCGTTCCACTTGTTGGATTACACAGAAATTACCAGTCGTTAATGGAGGAAATTCAGTTAGAATGCAATATCGATTGCTATGTCAAATATATCTCAATATCAAATTTTTGCACTTAAAAAGATCATCATCAAAGAA